AGGAAGGAAGGAAGGCAGGAAGGAAGGAAGGAAGGAAGGAAGGAAGGAAGGAAGGAAGGAAGGAAGGAAGGAAGGAGTGGTTGGCCTCTCTCCACTCCAAAGTGTCATGTGCCGGCATAAGGACAACCCTGAAGGAATGTCAGGAAGGCAGGGCCAATGGTAGTTCAACTGTGGTCAGCCAGAACTTCCAGCCAGGCACACCAGCAGTGACCCCAGCTAAAGAGGGAAAAAGTGGGAGAAAGAGAGAGGCAGAAGCACCAAAAAGTTGTGGGGAGACAGCTCTTGTAAGGCTGAGAGAAAATGGGCAGCAGAAGCAGGAGACACCTGAAGGATGTGTGGCCACAGGAGAAACCAGACTGACCTGTCCCAGCACTAACCCAGGCAAGCAAGTGTTAAGCCACAGCCAAGCAAAGAGAGAACCAAGCCAGTGCTAGTGCAGAAATGGTGAAGGGACAGTGGTCTGGATGCCCCAAGTGGCCACAAGGCCAGAGGGCCATCACTACCAAGCTATGTCAGAGGAGCAGAGCCAGATGAAGCAAGAGCCACTGCTAGAACACATGACCCTGGTGATCTATCAGCCAACCCCAGCTGCAGTTCCAACCCTGAGACCAGACCAGCAACAAGGACAGCCAAAGGAGAAGTAGTTGGTTGGAGGGACATCTGTCGGGGGGAGTCAAAAAAGTCAAGATAGTAGCCATGATAGGGTGATTGAAGCCCTGCTGCTTCTTTACATGCAGGACTGGGATTACATGGCTGTGGCTGCCATATTGACTTTTTTGACCACCACCCCTTGGTGGTGTGCAGGACCAGGATAGATAGATAGAGATTGAGCTGAAGCACGGAAGACTGTAGGTTACACAAAAATGAAGGAAGAAAATTAGAAAGCTATAGATAAAAAAGTAAGGAACAGAAGTAAGTAAGTTAGGAGAATAAAGAAAGAATTGTAAAAGAGAAGCTAGAATAAGGATGGAACAGAGCTTAGGAGAGGAAAATATAACAGGGTAAAACCAGGAGATACTGATTTTAAAGCAGCAGGTCATATTTCTTATGGAATGAAAAAGTTTAAATAAAAGACTTTTTAACTGGAATTAGCATGGATTTATCCTGATGAGGTCAGTACCCAGAATCCATGATAAGGGTTCAGGGTCTCTTTAAATTAACACTGGGCTGAAATTGATGTTTCAGGTTGCCTTAGTTGCCTCCCAGCCTTCCAAATCGCTAGCGGTGTTTTCAAAATCATACATACCAATATTGGAATTAGTGTTTGTTTTCTATTCTGCCAGAGGCACCTTCAAATCCACCATCCCCTGACATTGTTGAGGTGCTTGAAGATGGCGTACAGCTGGCGTGGGAGCCAGTGGAACTCAACACCCCAGTGACCTATACTGTTCTGTGCAAGAAGGATGGTAAGGGAGCATTTTCTGATTCCAAGACTTTGAGCTGTTCAGAAACCCTGGCCCTGTTTAGCCCAATCTCTGGGGAGAACTTACTGGTTTCTTTATAGGAGCTCCAAGTGGCAAACATATGGTTCCGTCCTCCGATTTTTCCCTGTGACAACATGTCTACAAGATAGTCTGGGCTAAGACTGGGCCAAGGTCACTCCATGAGCTTCCGTGGCTGAGGTGAACTAGAACCTGGGTCTCCCACTCCTGGTCCTGCATCTTCACCATTGCTCAACAGTGGTACTTGGGCTGAGAGGGAGGGACTGGCCCAAAGTCACCCAGCTGACTTCTGTGCCTAAGGGAGGACTAGAACAGGGTCTCCTGGCTTCTAATCCTCTACCTTCTCCACTGGATCACCCTGTTTTTTGGGCTGAGGGCATAAGAACCTGGATCTCCCTGCTCTTAGTCCAATATCTTAAACACTGGACCATACAGTCTCTTTGTTTTAACTTTCCTAAGCCCTGTCCTGGTCAGAGAGTCTTAAAGTAACCCACAGTGGCCCTGCCCACTACCAGGTTGAAACCATCAGGTGAAGCTCTACTAAGAGTGACTTCTTTTCCTGTCTGAAACAGGATACGGTGCAGCTAGTGCCAGCTACAATCCAAAAGTTAAAGACTTCCATTTGCTCACTCTCTAATTCAACAGGTACAGCTGAGGTGGGCTTTCTTGCTTCCAGTCCTACAAATGATTTAAAAATCTAATCAGTTCCGAGAATATCCATCCTTCATTTCTTTCCCTCTTTCATTTAAAAATTCTGTTATCTTTTCCAAAATGACAAGAAAAAGATGTTATGAAATTGCTTTCAAAGGAACGAGCGAAATAGGGACTACCTAACAGTGGTCTTGAGACTGACTAAGAGAGTAAGGGCTGGAGAGTTCAACATGATACATAGCCATAGAATCAGAGAACTGTAGAGTTGGAGGGGACCATAAAGATCATCTAGCCCAACCCTTTGCAGTGGGCAAGAAAAGCACCTGAATCATTCATGGGCATCCCTCAAAACAAATAGAAGAGACATAGCTGGATATGAATCACCCTCCCTCCAATTAAAATACTCTAATTGCCTAAAAATACAAGAGATTGTTTGAAAATGAACCCTTTGTGCTCTAACATTTCTTTCTGGAAGCCCTCTTCTAGGGGTGCCTGGGGGGGGGTCAAAAAAGTAAAAAATGGGGGCTATGACTGTGCAATCAAAGCCATCATCTTGACTTCTTTTGACATGCCCCTGTCCAGGCACCTCTGCCTCATCCAAAACAAATATATTTCTCCAACTATGGAATAGTTATATGGTGTTCATCTGGTTAAAATATGAATATTTTCCTTCCTTTTCCTTCTTTGTCAAGATGGAGAATGGAAGACTCTAGCCAGTGACATCCTGGACTGCTGTTACACAGTCGAACATCTTCCTCGAGGTTTGGTGTACTCCTTCCGCATTGCCTGTGTGAGCCTGGCTGGTGTGGGTCCGTATAGTTACCCAACTCCCAAAGTGAAAATTGGTGAACAAGATCAAGCAGGTATCCATCTTCTCCAAACTGAATTTTAATACGGACCTGCATTAGTTGGCATCTAAATTCAAGGAGGAGCATTTATCGCCACATAACCTACCATTTTTCTTCTTCATCTGGAAGTTAGATGTTCCTCAATGTCGAGGAAAACTGGAATTCTGGGTCTAAGAGCTTCACTGTATTTATCATGTCAGCATCCTGCATGGTCTAGATCAGTATTTCTCAACCTGAGCAACTTTAAGATGTCTGGACTTCAACTCCCAGAATTCCCCAGCCAGTGTGCTAGCTGGGGAATTCTGGGAACTGAAGTCCACACCTGTTAAAGTTGTCACAGATAGATTTCAGGGGATATGTAAATTTGAGTGGGAAAAAAAATCACTTTTACTAACTTCTAACTGAAATTTAGCTTTTTGTGCAATATTGAATGTAGGCAACAAAGTAATTAATGGACTCTAGACTCCAAAAGGGTTTGTATACTTCAATAAATCTCACTATCTAAATTTATCTGAATTATTTTTTAATATTTTGATCACTGGATTTGAGCATAGTTGGTTTCCTTTGTAATACAATCTCTATTTATGTATTTTATTTCATGCATTTAAATGCAATTTTCTGAAAAGGGGTCCATGGCCCAAAAAAGTTGCGGATCTCTGCTCTAGGTGAGCAGAGGATGTAAAGGTTAATGTGGATGACAAAGCAACCCCACACCCCAATTAAAACCCTACAGGATGAAGAACTTCTGCACAGGCACAGCTTAAGGGTACTGTCCAGGTAGTCCTCAGTTTAAGAATGAGTTCTGTTCCCAAAGTCTGTCCGTAAGTCAAATTTGTATGTAAGCTGGAACAGTATGAATAATACTGCATAAGTAGTATTGTGTAATTAACTCAAGCCCTTGTGTATTTAACCCGAATCATTGTGTATTTAACTTGAATTTTGCTACAATACACTCTGTTCTTAACTGTGGGTCATCTGTAACCCTGGTGTTCTTAACTCAGGAACTACCGTTATTTCACACTTGGATTCTACTGTATTTTCCTCATTATAATAAAAAGCAACAATATGCAGTACGAGAGGGGTTGATTGCTAAATAATGATGTCAGTTGGATGCCAGATGAAATTAAAGGGGTAATTATGAGTGAAGTAGACTAAAGGCTGCCCAGCACACAGTCCTAGGACAACCCCCCCCCCCCCCCC